ATATATTGTTTTCCTGGAGTTCCCATCTGGGTTTTAGTTTGTTCTTTTGCCGCTTGTGTCTTTCCCTTCACTTCCTGTCCTGGAGACACAACAGGAAGTGAATGTAACTCTCTCCAAGGTAAGGGTAAATCCCCTCTCAGTCATCACCAGAACAGGTGCCCCCCCGCTCCCCCATTGGAAGATTTCCCCCTCACCTCCTGCTTTGGTGACACCGGTGACATTTTGGGTTTCCTGTTGCTTCCTGTGCTAAGTGACCCCAGTATAAATAGATACGATGAATCTCCCCAGTGGAGACACAAACAGCAATGAAAAACTGAAATCTGCTCTAACCCTTCCCCACTCCATCCAAAAGCAGAAAACAAAATGAAGAAACACTTTAAACTGGCTCAGTCATCCCATTGGAAGCTATATACATAATATCCCTATCTATCTATATATACAGTATATACCATTGAAGATCGCCAGGCTTTATTGTAAACGTATTCCCTGTAGTCCTGTGCATGGTCCCCTGCACACCAGCCGAAACTCCAGATCACTCTGACAGCCACTGTGCCTGTATGTGGATGGCGGAGCAAGGCTTTGACAGTCTGAAGGTTGAAGAGAGATAGAAGGAAGACACAAAGGGCCCGGGCCAGCAATGTGAAGGATCCGTGTGTCATACAGACCAGCTGTGACACTTTTCTATTTCGTTTACAGGGGGAGTGTCAAGGCATGCGGAGGCGAATCATGCTTCCTGACGTGAGGTTGGGACATAGAGAACGCGGGGTTGGGACATGGAGATTGCGGGGTTGGGACATGGAGAACGCGGGGTTGGGACATGGAGATTGCGGGGTTGGGACATGGAGAACGAGGGGTTGGGACATAGAGAACGAGGGGTTAGGACATGGAGAATGAGGGGTTGGGAAATAGAGAACGAGGGGTTGGGACATGGAGAACAAGGGGTTGGCATATGGAGAACGAGGGGTTGGGACATGGAGAACGAGGGGTTGGGATATGGAGATCGAGGGGTTGGGACATGGAGAACGAGGGGTTGGGATATGGAGAACGAGGGGTTGGGACATGGAGAACGAGGGGTTGGGACATGGAGAATGTGGGGTTGGGACATGGAGAACGAGGGCTGGGGATATGGAGAATGTGGGGTTGGGACATGGAGAACACGGGGTTGGGACATGAAGAGTGCAGGGTTGGGATATAGAGAATACAGGGTTGGAACATGGAGAACATGGAGTTTGGACATGGAGAAGGAGGGGTTGGGACATGGAGAACCCGGGTGGGACATGGAGAATGTGGGGCTGGAACATGGAAAACGCAGGGTTGGGACACGGAGAACACAGGCTCGGGAAATGTCATTACGCTTCCCGAGCGCCCCAGCTATACAGCAAGGGAGACAGTGACGGGGTTGACATGAACAAAGTCCAACGGGAGCACCAAACGAAAGGTCTGATCGTTCACAGAAAGGCAATATAGATCAGCCAACACGTCTCAGGGGTTCATTATCCCTCTCCTTCCTCAGGGCTACAAACCAGACATGAAAACATATCAATTCTTTCTTCTATTTTGAATACTGTTTTATATTTATATTCAACACACAGTTGCAATATAGTGATACAGTTTTTTGTTATTAGTATCCAGTGGCAATATGTGTCAGGATCGGACCCCGCTCCGTAGCCCAAGAACATGGCACGGACGGCCCCGTCAACAGCGTCCTGTTGCCGGGCGACGGGCGGGCGTTCCTCCGCGCTCCACTCCTCCTTCTGCCGAACAGCTGAGTCGGCGTGATGACGCGGCGAGCCCGGCCCAGCGGCGTCCCGTTGCTAGGAGACGCTCGGGTCGGGTCTCGGCTCCGGCTCCGCCCCCCAATCACCTGCTCTGCCTATTTAAACCGTAGGCTTTCACTTGCTCGACGTTCTAGCAAAGTAGTACGTCGAGCAAGCTACTTAGGACCCTAAACTGTACCGCTCTCTGGGTATCCTGCTAACCCCTCTTGGACCTCCACATCTACCCCTTGGATTCTGGCA